CACACACACACACACACACACACACACACACACACACACACACACACGAATGCATTAAACGTTTCTCCATGCAAATTTCTCTTGAATACAGGTGGACCTTTTGAGATATAAAGATATATTTATTTATTCATTCACTCCTGAGTTGTGGGTCTTACTTAGAAGGCTAGCATTTATTGACTATTCCTAGTTGCACTTGAAAAGGTGATAGTAGACTTTCTTCACGACCTGCTGTAATCCATGAGGTGAAGGCACTCACACAGTGGTCTTGGGTAGGATTGCCAAGAGTATTGACACAATGGTGATGAAGCAATAATGGCAAATCCCCAAGTCCAGGTGCTCTGCGACTTGGAGGCAATGGGCTCTTGACCTTCCAGGGGGCTTGGAGGGCATTACTAACTTTCAAGAGTAAGTACAGGTAGAGATAACTGTATGCGGTACATTGTGACTGTTCGTGGGCTTCCAGGAAAATGTTCAAATAATCTGTGTTAATAAGCCAAAAGAAAGAATGACCTTCACAAGCCCAAAGCTCTTTCTTATTTTGTGTCCTTTGCAATAAAAGCTGTGATCTGTCAATGCATAATTTAAATTCTCCCCATGTCTGCATGGGTTTCCTCCCGGTCCTCTGGTTTCCTTCCTTGTCCAAAGATGTGCAGGTTAGGTGGATTGGCCATGCCAAATTGCCCGCAGTGTCCAGGGATTTGCAGGCTAGGTGGATTAGCTGTGGGAAATGCTGGGTTACAGGAATAGGGTAACAGGGATGGGATGGTCTTTGGAGGGTCTGTGTGGACTCAATGGGCCGAATGGCCTGCTTCCACTCTGTAGGGATTCTATGGTTCTATAAATTTAAATTCTGGCAAAGCTGACAATATCGTGGCTGTATGGGAATAATGGTTACCAGTTCCACATTGCTGTCACAGAAAGCTAACCTTAAGCTAAAGTTGGGGCTGAATTTCCACTGAGACTTTCCCAGTCTTTTGAAATTCTATTGTAGGCATGACAAAGCTTTGGACATTTCTCCCCTAAAAAATGAAATGAAATGCAACCGCATCCTACTCAAGTGAATCTGCTCTCAACAACCACAGAAAACCATGCTAAACTTGTCCATTAAGACCTAGGTAAACGTTTTATACAAAGAAAAGTGTTAACATGGTTGAATAGACTTGAACATATCATGTTCCATCACATGAGCTCTGCTTATTTTATGAGCGCAACACAGTAATAGTCATTTGGTAGTATGGAAGCTGAGCTATGCTGAACAAAAATACATTTTGCTGAGGTTTTTCAGCTTATCCTCATCAAGATATTTGGCAAGAATATCAATATGAAGGGGAACAACACTTAATACTATGAGAAGAGAGTGCTGACGGTTTGGCAGTTGGAATATGATTGGTAGAGGCATTGCCAAGACGAATGCACCAGTTAGATAATGACTAAATGCTAAGCTTTGTTTAAAATTAAAACAGGTAGGTTGAATCTGATTGGCTGAGGCACCTCCCCGCAAAATGAACTAGGGAATGACTGTGGCCTATTTTTTTAAGTTGAAACTTGAGTAATGTGTGCATTGTTCTTTCTGTCTGCGAAGTATAGAGTCCTTCTTATTAATAGGCAAATACGTGCAGGTGTGCAACACTAAGAGCTTGACTAATAATCCCAAATTGGTCGTTAGCAAAATTCTTTGCATACTCAGGATTGTTCAGCAAATTTTGTTTTAATCACGGAATTGCATCTAATGTTTGACAGTGTGCTTTGAGTTTTGCAAGAACAGCTGGTTATGCCTATTACCTTGACTGTTACAAAGGGACATATTGTTTGATAGGAATTGTCAGTGTTTATCATAAACAGCCTCCATACCATCAGAATGCTAGTACATAAATTCATATACCATATTACACATTCAGTGGTAAAGTGGTAATGTCACTGGACTGGTAATCCAGAGGCGCAGGGCAGCTGGTAGAGTTTATGTTTAATTAATATTACCTGGAATTAGTGTCAGTTTTGGTAACCACTAACCATTAATCTATTCTTTGTTGGAAAAAGCCACATGGTTCACTAATGTCTTTTAGGGAAGTAAATCTGCCATCCTTACCTGATGTGGCCTACTTGTGACTCCAGATGCACAAAAATGTGCTTGACTCTAAAGTGCCCTCTGAAATGGCCTAATCAACCACTTGGGTCAAGGGAAGTTCAGGGCTGGCCACGAATGCTAATGTTGCCCATGTTCAATGGTCCTTTTGGCTTTATAGCAGCATCCTATGAGTGACAAATACCTCTTTGTGCTGCTCCTGCACTATAGCAGCCTGCAAAAGTTAGCTTCACCCTTTGCTGAAATTTTGAGAACCTTAGCCTTCCAGGCTATTCTGGGTAATTTTCAGGCCTGAAAATTGTGGTTTTACACTAGTCTTATGTTGACTCTTAACTGCCCTCTGGACAATTAGGGATGGGCAATAAATGCTGATCTAGCCAGCAATGCCTTCATCCCATGAATGAATTTAAAAAGAAACAGCCCATTGATGAGTTTGCATGATACACAGTGATCAGGTTAGGTTTAATATCACAGGATGTCTTTAATGTGCCCTATTTCAGCATCAAGCTTACGCAGTAAGCAAAAGCCTCAAGCCCTGTTAGAGGTTGTCAATGGCTAATTTTGTAGCATGTGGAACTTTAGTAATCCCAACATGAATATTTACCAGTAAAGGTTAACTTGTGGTGGACAATAGTGGAGAACCTTCCCCCCATCCCCTTGGCAGAAGTCTCAGTTAGCACATAAAGGAAACGGAACACATTTGTGTGATCCATTTCAAAGATATCTTTGAAAACAGAATGAGTCCATAACAGATGTGAGGAAATTCTTAAGTGTATTGGAAAAAAATAGCCACATATTGGAAACATGTGAATGTTAGAAGGTTAAGTGCCATTCAACCAAAGACATGTTTCTCATGAAACCCAACAAAGATGTTCGTGAGAAATGGGCCTAAAGTGAACTCATGGCAGCCCATCTATTTGGGCACACCTTGTGTCATTGAAGCTGCAATCAACTATGTGAGTTGCTGAGTTTATAATTATAGTGCATACTGATTCTCACAACAGTGGTGGGTCCAGATCACCATGATATAATGCTCAGTTTAAAATGCTATTCCCCTTTAGACTGATATTCTTGCAAATCTCCTGATGAATTGAAGCAGAAGTTGACATTTTTTCAGCAATACACAATTGATTAAGTTAGTTGAATTTGAATCAAAATGCAAAAAGAGTAATTTGCTGCTTAAATGAGTTTCTTGATGATATTGCATAATGTAGAGTGGGGTAAAAAGGAAACAAAAATTCCCACCTTGCTCCTAGAGTTAAAATAATGAAAAGTTATCCAGCTAGAAGTGACAATGGTAGCACAGAATAGTTTTCCCAGCTCAAACCATTATTTGAAACAACCTTTTCACCTTCTTGTCTTGTTATTTCCAGAGTGTAAGACGAGGAAAATGTGAGTTCAGATTTTTTTTTCTGATTAACTGGACAATGAAACTAAACTCTGATTTTGATCTTGCACAGGATCTGGGAAACAAGGATTTGAATCGTGATAAAATTTATCTAATTTGCCAAATAGTTCGCGTTGGAAGAATGGATTTGAAGGACACGAACCAGAAAAAATGCACTCTTGGGTTAAGACGACCTTTTGGAGTGGCAGGTAATTAACAGTTAGACAATGTACAGTGTTCCAGGGCTGTTGGGAGGAAATATGATGTCGAGTCAAGAGGATAATTTATACTGAATGAAATAGTCGTGATCAGAGATACAGCGAGTAAGAGGAGATAAGATTTAGGTTTTGAAGTCCAGAGAAAAATAGATAATGAGGCCATAAAGAGTTCATTTAACATGGAATTATGAACACTGCCTCAAGCAGAGCTTGAAGATTTGAAGATACACAGACCATTGGAAATCAGTTCATGCGTTTCAATCATTTCTTGTGGAGAGGAAAGTCTGGAATTTTCTTTGTTTTATGTTATTGTAAGAGATTCCTGCTGTTGGCATTTGCTTCTGCTGTGATCTTTTATATGTAGCTTTGTTGCCCCCAATCTTTTGTGATTCTAGACTGTGGAGTTTACTAGCATTAAATGGTAAAGGATTAACTACCAATAGTCTACAGCAGAGAGGCACGTAATTGAGTAACTATAACTCATATTTATAAGATAGTAGTGAAAAAACAAATTATATTAACATTTATACTTGTTATCCGCATTAGCATTAACAAAGTCATTACTGTCTTCTAAGAGACACAAGGCCAGTCTTAAACTAATTTGTCGTTGTAGACTGATGATAGTTCAAAGACTAACAGACTAGGAATGGAACTCAAAAACATTCTTATTGAAGATGGAACTATACACAGTATTCAGAATGAACCCTTTAGGCCAACTGCCTCATACAACATTGTTAGGTAAACTTTGTATTCCATCTGAGGAATGCCACTATGAGGTAACTTAAGATTTTAATATTTAAGGCACCCATAGTCAGCGACATGCCCCTCAGATCAATAAAAAGAGTATTTCCCTGTAACTGCCCAACCATGTCACTTACCCCAAACATTTGAAGTGAATCTCTTACATATGTTAATCACAAGTCCCCTCCACCCCTCCTATTTCCTCCATTTCTTACCCTAATGCTTAATTTGAGCTAGACTGCTAATTAATATCAGTGAGATGTACTTTTGTGTTGTGAATATATGTCTATTAGGAATTAGAGTGGTTCATCCCAAAATGGTTCAAATAAAAGCTTTGCAGTCAGTAAATACCCCCACTGTACTATACTGGGCTAAAACATATCAACTAGAATTGGAAAAGAGCTTCTCCAAATACATGTAGATACAAATAATCAAATAGAATATTTTTAGCGTGAAAAGAGATTTCACATGAACATTTATCTTTCTGGGCACTTAGAAAATAGTCGGGGCCTTCTTGAGATTGAGACGGTTGGGTTGTGTTGCATTGGGTTGCGTTTCCTTGAGCAAATTGTACCAAGCTAATGGAAGAAATGAACTTGGGAAGAATGATTTTTCTCATTCCATGCTTTTTTCTGTTCCTATATTTTTATTCTGTTACTGAAGAAGAAAGCGTTCCGTGAGTTTCCTTGCAGTAAGTGCGGAGTGTCAATTACATCACTGTCCTCGCATATACCTCCATTATTCAATCCTGGATCATTACATCTGATTGTAAATCATAACACAGAAACCAATATGATTTTTGATGGTCAAATTTAACCAAAAAACCTTACTATTTTCCATACTGTCTCTGAACAGGTTTCCTACGAACTGCTTCTTAAATCTCAGTTATTTAACTTTTGATTTGTTTTAATTTATGACTTGGGCTGGACTTGCATTGTTTCCTATAACTGTCATGAGTAATACTTCAACAGTGGTTTGTGTTAATCTAGTAACATATTTATGGGACGTAGAACTGCTACTTATTAAATCAAGAACAAGACGTCACAGATCTGTACTAGTAAATGACATGGTTATAATGATCAACAGTGAGCTCTTCACTCAAGGAGTGGTCACCTCATACTTTGGGGTAGAATGGGGTGATTGATTTGCATTGGGTGGTGAAGGTTAAGGCCTTGCAATCATAAAAGGAAGATTCGGATGTGATGATCGGTGACTGCTTCTTTCTGAATTGTTGAGGAATAGTCAACTGGCATTACCAGTTAGTATCTAACTTGGGATTTTGTGAGTTAAATACTTCTGTCATTGACTTGACATTGCAAGTTGATTATTTGTCTTTCTAGGTGTCTGTGTGAATTTAATTATTTCAAATATGTGCCCTTCTTGCTCACTCTTCTGCCAAGGTGAAATATTTTGCATTTTTCAGTAGTATATTTTTCTTTCCATACAGCTACTCAATTGATCTTTAATGAAAATATAACCATTGCTATGCAATACCCTTTACAGTGATTTACTGGGGTATATTTGTATGGGCAGCAGTAATCTTCTAATACCATGGATACATAGAGTCATAAATGCATCATTTTTTCTATTTCACACACTGCTCAACGTATGCCTGCTCTATGAGAGATTGCCAAGTGTGTACCAAATATCACCAATGTGGGCAGTATTGAGTTGTCACCTTAACTGCTAAGTTGAGACTTATTTTCATTTGTTGATTGAATGTGGGCATTGCTGACTGGGCAGGATTTATTGCCCGTCCCTAATTCTCATTGAGAAGTTGGTGGTGAGCTAACTTCTTGAACCATTGCATTCCTTGTGGTGTAGTTACACCCACAAAGCTGGAAGGAAGTGTGTTTCAGAATTTTGAGCTAACAACACCAAGTGAATGGCCATGCAGTTTCAAGTCAGGATGGTGTGTATTTGATAAGCATTTGCAGGTAGCAATGTATCTCTACATCTACTGTCATTGTCTCTCTATGTGACAGAGGGTGTGCACTTGGAAGATGCAGTAAAAGAAACTTCAGCATTTTGGGAGAGACAATGGCCTCACAGTATTATCACTAGATTATCAACCCAGGAACTCAGCAAATGTTCTGGGGACCTGGGTTCAAATTCCCACCATGACAGATGGTAGAATTTGAATTCAATAAAAGTCTAGAATTTAGAGTCTACTAATGACCATGAATCCTCTGCCGATTGATGGGAAAACCCATCTGCTTCACTAATGCCCTTTAGGGAAGAAAATCTGCCATTCTGACGTGGTCCGGCTTAGATGTGACTCCAGACCCACAGCAATGTGGTTAATTCTTAAGAGCTTTCTGGGCAATTAGGGCTAGGCAATAAAAGCTGGCCTGTGCAGAGACCCCCATGTCCTGTGAGTGAATTTTAAAAAAAAGTTATACACAACACTCAGCTACAGTCAGCTAGTGGTGTTATATCAATGGTCTACTTTTATCCAGATGGAGTGGACCTTCTTGAGTGTTGCTGGAGCTGCACATATCCAGCGAAATGGAGATTATTCCATCACACGTTGGACTTTTGCCTTGTAGATGGAAGATAGGTTTGGAGGAAGCAGGAGGTGAACTACTTGCTATAGAATTTCAACTGGGAATATAATCAGGGTTTATAGCTTTTTCTATATCCAGTTTCTTCAGATGGCCTAAATGTATTCAATCTGTCTATTTATAGCATACAGAGTGAAGGAACTTCTATTCCATTTGCTCAGGGAGCTTTCTTTTACCCAGCACGTAATGTCATCGAACCAGAGTGGTTCTGAAAGGAAATTTAATGTTTAGTAAGTGTGATTTCATCACATCCTTGAAGATTGTTATCTGAAAGATCTGCCTGCCACAAGATGGTGCTTTGTGCATTCCAGCCATTAGAATGACAATGAGTTGATTTCCTTTGACTTGAACAATGTCAATTGTCAGTCAGAACATTGAGATAAACATGTAATATTGCCTCACCTGATGGAGCATCCTTCTGAATTCTGCAGTCCTTGTTGTGACATAGCCTTTTCACTTCTAGATCCTATATGCACCACATTGAGGTAACTTAAGCTTGTTATATTTAAATCTAAATTAAATTGAAGTTTAAATTAAATGGAAGGCTGGTGAAATGAGAGGTTTTCAAGAACGCTCTTCAATTTAAATGATTTCTAGGAAGCTCATTGTTCTGAAAGGATTGCTATCCACAAATTATTCTAATTCAGTTTGAAATGATCCTGCAATCAGAGAGTACTGTGTGGAAGACTAGAATATGAAATAACTTCACACAGGCTGGTATCCCGTCACCAAGTCACCCTTTATTTACTTGGCTATGACCAGCCAGCTCAGAATCAGTCCCTGAAATGAGGAGATTCTAAATGCCCTGTTTGTATTGGTCAGCCAGGATTTCCTGATTGGCCCAGATTAACAATGTCGGTCAAGAATCTCATAGTCAACAAGATCCACCCGGTTCCAATCACCACAGAATATTTCTCTGATTTTTACCTTCTCTGCCTTTGCTTGCAGTTTTTGCCAGTTTTATTTGCTTTCAGTCTCCCACCAAGCTGTTCTCTTGTGCTTCCTTCTCCCCCTCCAAAAGTTCATCTCAGAGTATTGTTCTGCACAAACCGACAGCTACTTGATGGGCCACCCAATTTGCCATGCCCTTGTCAACAGGCAATTTTTTTGTAGAGAGGGCATTGCTGTAAAAACTAATTGCATCCAGATACTGGAATCAGCCCCAGTAATTTACTTAAAAACCGACATCGTAAGGTAACATCTTGTTCCTTGTACCGACTTGTAATTTTCCATTTCTTTCTTCCGTGCCTTGGAGAGTGATCGATGAAGAAATACCAATTTGCCATTGCATTTCTGCCATGGAAATAACTTCAGACTGCCCAAGATCATTTAACACGATGCCTGACAGGGCGCCAGAGGGAGGAGCCATTATCCTGCAGTTTTGAGCTTTATTCCAGTCACAGCCAATGTACCATTCAGTTTATCTTGCATTTTTGACATTCTGAGAGATGAGTGTTGGAGACATTTATGAAATAGCTGTTTTGATGAAATAATTTAATATTGTATCCTGACACCATCTTGTCTTCAACAAATGGAGCAGCAAATGTCTTCTGACTCTTATTGGTCAGACTCTCCCACATGCATCTTGCCAACATTAATGAATATCGATGAAGCAATGATAAAGCTTTCCAGCCTCAGAAATTGGTGTGTGCCCAGCCATCAAATTCAAGGCAAGTGGCAAGGCCGGGTTAATGCCAGGCAAGCGGGTGTCCTGCCACCTCGCCATCTCCTAGTTCATTAATCATCTCTTTGTCAACAGTTCCCAGCTTTTTAGCATGGCACTACCTTCCTCTACTACTCTCTGGATAGGGGAGCAAGAGAACAGGAAGGTTTATGTTCGGTGACCAAAGCGAGAAGAAGGGATTAAAAGGATACAAACACAGAAAATGGTAAAGGAACTCAGTAGGTTTGGCAACATCAATGGAAAGAGAAGAGAGTTAACCTTTTGAATCTGGTATGACTCTTCTTCAGAACTGAAGAGCTTGTTCTAACAGACACAAAAAAGCTGCAGATGCTGGAATCCGAGGTAGACAAACAGGAGGCTGGAAGAACACAGCAAGCCAGGCAGCATCAGGAGGAAAGGAGAAGTCCACGTTTCAGTTATTACAAGCCATAATTAAGAGGATTCTATTAATCCAGGCTATTGACCAGGTCGTTTTCAAGATACATTGACATTTCCTCAACACAGGAACAGGGAGTATACCATTCAGCCCATTGAGCCTGTTCTGCCATTCAATGCCATCATGGCTGATCTGTGGCCTAACTCCAGCTTTTGGCCCATATCCCTTAATACCTTTGCTTAGCAAAAAAAATCTCTCAGATTCAAGTTAACAACTGATAATGCATTTACTACCATTTGTGGAAGAGAGCGTGTAGAAGTGCTTCCTAACATCTCTCCTGAACTGTCTGGCCCTAATCTGTAGACTATGATCAGTAGGTCCAGAATCTCCAACCTGTGCAAATAATCTTAGACCTCTTATATATGTAATCAAAGATACTGGTGCAAGTTTTAGGACGAATAAAGAAAGCTGCTCTACAATGGTGTAGAGCATCTACATGACATTTTTTGAAAGATGAATTTTTGTCTAGGTAGCCCACGTTGAATTTTCTGAATGTGCTGGCTGAGTAACATATTAAGGGTTAAATTCCAAGTCCCAAATCATTCATTCTTTTTAAAAATGAGCCACTGGTTTCTTTGTCCATTAAGTTTTTCACAACATGATTCATCTTGGCTTACACAATAGCAGTTCCAAGCGGTAATGAGTTAATCTTCTCAAATGGCAAGATACATATCCTATGGCAAGATACATATTAGTCCTAGATCTGCCAGCATTACAATAAACAATAGAAATGCCAAGGGTGAGTTAACTAGGTTGAGTACATTCAATGACAAGTGCCTTTGACAATCATTAGAGTTTGTTCCTATTCGGTACTGGTGAATACCTGCTCTGGATTAATTAAATCAGGAGATGCATATTGTATCCTCATGCCTTAGGGTAGGCACTCATTCCAGGATCAACATTCTGACTGACAGTTTGGAAGGCTGGGACTTTATCAGAAACTAAGGGCATTGTTGACAGAGATACAGGGTGACTCACAGACAGTAGTCTGATTGGCTGCCAATGTTTTATAACTTAAGTAGTCTTGGGCTCAAAGAGTTAAGCTTGAGCTCATGACCATCTCCCTGGCTGCTAAATCAAAGCCCTCCATGCTCCTATTCTGTATAATTCTGTAGCCTCCTATCAACCTCCAAATCTGTGTTCCTCCAACTCTGGCCTCTTGAGCATCCTCGATTTTTGTCATCCCACTTATATCTTCAGCTGCCTAGGTGCTAGCCTCGGGAGTTCTTTCTCTAAACTCCTCCATTGTCCACTTCTTTCTTTAACATTCGATGCCTCTTTAATGAAGCTTTTTATCATCCATCTTCTTACATGGCTCAGTGTTACGTTTTGTCTGATACAGTTCCTTGGAATTACACTGGGAAGGAGCAATCTAAATACAAGTTCAAATGTTATTGGCTTGTACTTATAGATAAAATGGGGGAGGGGTGGGGTGGAATAGGTTTTCATAGAATCCGTACAGTGTGGAAACAGGCCCCTCCGCCCAACAAGCCCACACCAACCCTTGCAGCATCCCACCCAGACGCATCCCCCTATACCCCTCCTAATCTATACATCCCTGAACACCACGGGCAATTTAGCATAGCCAATCCACCTAGCCTGCACATCTTTGGACTGGAGTACCCAGAGGAAACCCACGCAGACATGGGGAGAATGTGCAAACTCCACACAGACAGTCACCCGTGGGTGGAATTGAACCTGGGCCCCTGATGCTATGAGGCAGCAGTACTAACCACTGAGCCACCGTGCCACCATTTTCTTGCTGTTAAAATTGCATCGCTTATTTATATGTTTAATTTGAGAAACATTTGGCTTCGAAAATGATTGGATGATTTGGACAATATTGCCAGGGTAGTCATTATTACCTCTCTGCAGTTGTGCTGAAAAGATGGTAGGGTCTATTTTCTGTTGTTGGACTGGAGACGTGTATAATTCAGACCTGAGAGGAGTGGCAGCTTTTCCCCCAAAGGACAGCAGTGAATCAGTTGGATGAACTATTACAATTCTGTGGCTTTTCTGGGCACTTTTCTGGTGCTAAAGCTCAAATAATTTCATTTAAAGAATTTAGTTCCACAATTTACTGTGACAAATTGTGATAAATGCTTACCCTCTGATTTTTTTTAAAAGCTGTAATATTTCCTGCTTCTGCCTGACTCTCTCTCTCTCTCTTTAGTGATGGACATCACCGATATTGTGAAGTGCAAAACAGAAAGTGACGAAGAGAAACAACATTTTATTCCTTTCCATCCGTAAGTCAAACAGCAGTTTGTCAGTTTGGGCAGGGCGAGCATGGTGGTTTCAATTGTTTTGGATAATGATGTCCCTTTAACAAGAAGTCAAGTGTAAAGATTCCCCTTGGCTGATGTTTGTTACCAACACAACTCTCATCTTGTGCGCATTCTCATTGCTCCTTTAATTCCAATGCTGTCAAGATTTGAAATTGTCAACATGTGATGTGGTCTTTCTGTGCTGATGAAATTATAAGCTGAATGTTAAAGTGACCAATCAAAAACCAGATTGCTACAGAAATTTTGTTAACACCAAAAAATGCAGAACAGCTCTCTGGAAATGGTTTTGAATCTCCTTTAGATTGACACATTGTTCATTACACATAACCAGGAAACAGTGAGTTATTCAGTTCTGAGGAAGGGTCACTTTGATTTCTCAAAGCATTAACTTTGATTTCTCTCCACAGATGCTGCCAGGCCTGCTGAGCTTTTCCAGCAATTTTGTTTTTTGTTTCTGCTTTCTGGCATCTGCAGTTCTTCTGGTTTTTATCTATTTATAGACAGGTTGGGTGGGGTGTTGGGGAGGTGTGAAGATGGATGTGGAGATCTGGGATCTTACTGAGATTGGAAGGTGTTGGAAGAGGAGCACTCACACAATTACACAGACAACACAGACAACACACACACACACACACACGCAGACAACACACACACACACACGCAGACAACACACACACACACACACACGCAGACAACACACACACACAGACACACACACACACACACACACAGACACACACACACACACACACTCAGACACACACTCACACACAGACACACACACTCAGACACACATAAAACACACACAGGTGCACGCGCGTGTACGCACACACACATGCAGACACACACACACACACAGACACACATAAAACACACACAAGTGCACGTGCGTGTACGCACACACACACGCAGACACACACACGCAGACACACACACACACCTATCGAAGTTTGGGGCTGCCTTCTCCTGTGGTGTCAGAAACGGGGTGAGTAAGTGAGCTGGCAGTGGGTGATACGGCTGTTAGAGCTGGTGTATGTGGAAGAAAGGTGTTGAAGATGTTCTGAGGGACTGAGGAGACAGCAATTTCAGCAGCAGACAGAGTTAATAAGATGTGACGTTGGAGTGCAGGGAGTGTAAGTGACAGGAGGTGGTAAGTGACCAGTAAGAGTGGCAGAAAGAAGAATGCAGCACATACCATGACAGGGCAGAGAAGGCACATAAGCAAGTACTATTGAATGGCCTTACTGGCTGTTCCTCTGGACCCTGGAGATGGCATTGACCCAGGTGATGACCTTAGACCTTGATACCACTCCTCGCCCCATATACCAGGAGAATTGTGTTGCCACTTTCCCCTTCTCCACTGTGCTCAGATTTAGTCTGTGACCAAGCTGGGCAGCTTCAGAGTGCCTGAGGTCATCAAGGTTCCCTGTAGTCTTTTATAGAAGATGTGGATACAATGGATGCTGGGTTTTGGTGGGCAGCTGCTGAGTAGCGACTCAGGCCAGGACAACGGCTTGTGATAAAATGGGGCAGCAGTCGGATGTTTTAGGGGCAAGGCAGGTGATTAATGAGGTGGGTTTAGTAAGACATTAGTGGGAGAATTCACTAGGACCTTATGACAAACAACCCTTCGAATTTCTCAATGCAACTTGGACTGAGCTAAGAAAGTTCAAAGATCAGCCCCTTTGTAATGTTGGTAAATGGAGCAATTAAACTCAACGCTGCAAGGTCCCATGAGGAAAAAGATACATTTTCATTTGCATACATTTGCATTTTAATATAATGCTCACTCATTCATAACATTTTGCAATACAAATAGTGGCATTAGAGAAAAAAAGTCACTTTACTGCAGAATTCTAAAATTTTGATTAATTAAGTAAAAATATGGATTGAAGTAATTCCAAAGTAATTTGATTAATCGGCCAATGGTTCCACCCTGAGACATATTCTCACCCATACAACAGCTTCTGTTAAAATAAATTATAAAAAATATACCCTCAATATATTTCATTAACAGATGAACATTTGCTGAACACATGCCCTCCAAGTTTAGAGTTGCTTTTTGCAGAAAGACAAATTCAGATTGTGAAACAGAAGTTCAATCAGTTCTGCAAACATTACTGCTATGCAGCTTGGGAGCTAATTGATTTCACTGGTTAGATGGCAATCTGAAACCAATAGATTGGAAAAATTGGCTGATTTCCATAACGGGCAGGCTATTCGCTCCATCAGATTGCTGCTTGGATCGTGACAGCAGAAATCTGTGGCAAAGCTACTCGAACAACTCAAAATGAGGTGTAACGTCTAATGTCCTTTCAGGAAGGAAACTGCCATCTTTACCTGGTCTGGCCTACATGTGACTCCAAACCCACAGCAATGTGGTTCACTTTCAACTGCAGTTAGGGATGGGCCATAAATGCTGGCTCCACCATGGATGCCTACATCCCATGAATGAATAATAATGAAAAAGTCTGAAAGCATAAAGTAGGAGATGAAGAGTAACTAGTTGAGATGATCCTATTCTGAGACAATTAGAGGCATGCAATCAGAAACTAAAGCCATTTACACGCTCCAGTGAAAGGCAGGACCTAGAAGTAAAGAAACAGGACAACATCAAGTCTGCAGAGCACTCTGCCAGTGTTGTGGCTCCTCAGTAAGATGACATTTGCAAATTATCCCAGTCTCCCAGAATTAAGGTTTAACTCATATAATCTGGGAGAAAAATCATTGAGACATTTCTTTCTTCTGTTTTGCTTCGGTTGTACAATCAGCAAGCAGAAGAGCCTCAGTTTTCACTCTGACCGGTTATAAAGAATCGATATATAAAGCATATCCAACCGCATGGATGATTGTGGGTATTGTAGTCACCATTACTGACCAATTGCTGAGATGGTTGGACATTGGGCATGTGATTAATTCTGGGAGGGTGGGAAGAGCTATTGGAGGTAAGAGCTCATATGACAATCTCTTCTGGAAAATGGTCCTACTTAATTTGGTAATCCAAAACAAACCTCAACAATTCAGGCCAAATGCTCTCAAATGTCCTCGGTATGAATAACTATAACAGTTATACTTTGCCATGTCTCAACTATTTTCTGTTTGATTTGTATTGCAGTCATGCAGATACTGTTTCCAATTGGAAATAGATATCGTGATGTTCAGAAACTTCTTCACATTCAAACTCTGCAATGAAAGAATTACTTTGACAGTTGTAAGCTGTTTCCCTTGCATTTCACTAATTTTAATTGTATTATTTGTTGCAGGTTTATGGCAGAAAATGATTTTCTGCACTGTCTACTTAATAGAGTAATTTCTACCAAGACAGGGGATGAAAAGGGTCAAGGTAATCCTCTTAATCAAACAATGTGGAACTTTTTTCCGGTCTTATTTGCCATAACATTAAAATTGATTAATGCATTGTTAAAATTACCTATTAACGTTAAAATATGCTGACGTGCTCTACTGTATTTCACAGAAATATCTGATATGAATTAATGTGAAATGCAGGAACTGCTGTCCTGTGGACAATAATGGCAGGCTTCAAACAATAAAAGCTCACAAGATCACCGAGCAGTTAATCTGTGTTTAGGCATTGGTTGAGAACTCTCTGGGCGATGGATCATTAATCTCCATCAGAATAGGCAGTTAAGACACCAGTTTATTGTCTCACCTAATGGCCCCGGTCTTCTATTTGGGTGCCAGTTGGAATGATCTATTCATGTGCAGGAGTGGAGCTTGATTCCATACTTTTTGTTGTGGGGTTTGGTATGGAGGTGAAACCGAAACGAGTAACTTTAGAAAATTGAGTTTCATCCTATCAGCGATCCCTTCTCTTTGTCTAGTGAAATGGCACCCACAGCTATGTCCGAAGAAATAATAAGTCTAAAGAATTCAAATTCGTTATTTAGGAACGCATTTTGATGATATGGTATTGGACTAAATGGGTTCCACTATTGGTCCGCACTGGAGCCGGTGCTGTTAAATGATCTGGATTATAAATGTAGGAAATTTCCTACAGCCAAATTCTACAACCATTTGTAATATTTATAAGAGTCATTTGAAGATTTACAAGGATGCTGTTGGGATTGGAGTGTTAGAGCTATAAGGAGAAGCTGAAAAGTTGGGTATTTTTCCCCTGAAGCTGAGGGGTGACCTTATAGAGGTTTATAAAATCATGAGCGGCATGGATAGGGTAAATGGTTAAGGTCTTTTACCTAGGTTTAAGGGAGTCCAAAACTAGAGGGTACAGTTTTAAGATGAGAGGGGAAAGATTTCGAAGGGGCCTGAGTGACCTCTTTTACAATGCAGAGTATGGTGCATGTATGGAATGAGCTGCCAGAGGAGATAGTGGAGATAATACAACATCTAAAAAGCATCTCGATAGGTATACGAGTAGGAAGGGTTGAGACACGTGTGAACCAAATGCTGGCAAATGGGATTAGATCAGTTTAGGATATCTGGTCGGCATGGATGAGTTGGACCAAAGGATCTGTTTACACGCTGTGTAATTTTATGACTGTATGAGTTCTTTCACAAGTCTTGCTTATTCATTCTTTCAAAAGCCAAAACTGTTGTCTTTGACCCCCTGCCTTTTGCATTCTCTACTTCCATCATTCTCCACGGTCACTATGTGAGGTTGAACCAGATTGGCCTTCAGCCAAGCTTCCCAAAATCATCTCCATTGTCAAAAGACCTCTACTTTCAATTCTGTGCGCTTGCTTGTCTCAGCCCTAGCCACAGGTTGGCCACTGAAACCTTCAAAAATGTTTTTGTTGTCTCCAGATTTCATGATTCCAAGGCTGCCCTGGCCAATTTCCCATCTACCACTCTCCATAAACTTTAGCTTAACCAAAACTCTGAAGTGTGTTTTTTAAACTTCTTACAAAAGTCTTGTTTTAGTGTTTGGGCTGATCCTCATTGGCTCCTGGCCAACTTAAAATTCCCATTCTTTGGTTTAAATCTCTCTGTGGCCTTGCTCCTCCTTATCTCTGTAATCTCCCTCAGTTCTGCAAGATTCTGGAGGCTCAGCATTGACCCAATTATGGCTTCTTCAGTCCCATCACTGCAGCCATGCATTCAATTCTCTAGGCTCTAAGTTGAGAATTTTCCTCCTTAATCTTGTGTCTCTGGATGTCCTCTAAGATAGTCCTTAAAAAACAAACTACTCCATGATAAATATTTCAGTTCAACAATATCTGATCAGCATTCGAAGAAGTTAAAAAATATTTCAGATCTAAGTATGTACAAGGAGAGGAGGAGTAGGAAGGAAAGAACAAAAGTAAGATTCTGTATTGGTATAGAATGAGAGAAATAGGAAATAAACAATAGTATGATGATGTACAATAAAAGCTAGTGGTAATAGGAGTTATAAATCGCAATAGCAGACTCATTACTAACCCTTGGCTCTCTGAAAAATGGGAGCAGTGGTTGAAATCTGAAATCATGTAGCCCAATGTGAGTAAGGAAGGCTGTAAAACACCTAATTGAAAGATAGTGTTTCCATTGAACATCACTGTAACAGTGTAGGAGATGGAGGGCAGAGAGATCAGTGTAGGATGGAGCAGTGAATTGAAATGGCAAGCAAATGGAAATTGAGCACCACACTTAGAGACTGTGAGGGAATCATCTAGACTGCACTCAGCCTCCCTGTTATTGACAAGACTGCATTGTGAGGTGAGAACACAGTATACTGAACAGAAATAATTGCAATTAAATCATGGTTTCACCTGGAAGGAGTTTCACTCCCTGTATGGTAGAAATGGAGGCAGCAAAAAGGGCAGGTTTTGCAAATCCTGAGTTTGCACAGGAAGATGTCACAAGAAGGGACAAAAATGTTGGAGGTAACCTGGTGTCAGAGCTCCCCCTACTCATCAGCCAGCTATTCAATCTGATAGGCTGTGGCCAAGAAACTGCGTTCAACAATAATGTTTACATCCTTACAAATTTAATGGTAGGAGTTAGGGGAAAGACAAACCCTTGGCTTCCCTCAGTGCAGCAGTGCTTCCCATGACCCATCCTTTCATTCCACACCTTCCTCCTTGTTCATACTGTGGTTGAGATAGTCATGTAAAAATCAAACCTTGTTTTGAGATCAAAGATCATGGAGTGGACTTTTACACAAATAATTATTCGAAGGGTTGGCATGTGCACTTGAATTGGTAGTAAGTAAAATCTAACAGAGAAGATTCTTGCAATAAAATGAAGTCAAAGCCAAAACATTAATACATTCATTTTACTTAAAAAAACACTTAATTATTTTATGACATTACAAACTAGATACATTTCATCCACATTAAAGTTTATTAATCCGAGAACATTGGGCACTATGTGCATCTGCAATGAAATCAAATCTTTAACTCCAGGAATCAACTTTGTTTCTAGATCTTTGGGCTTTGATCCCTGAAAAGCTAGGGTTATCTTTTACATGAGGTACATGAAAAATCAAATTTATTGTAGATCAGAAATCATGGGGCTGAGTTTAACACGAGGTCGCGTTTTCTTGGGTATATACGGTGAATGCAAATGATTGTTTTTAAGCTTGCTGAGGTCAGTCACTCTCAGATTTAATTCACCAATTAACTTGCTGCCCATTCTACCATAGAGGTGTGATGATAAATCTCTCTTCTTTGCAATTTTTTTTATTTTCTATTAGAGGACTCCATTGCTCCCATAATGAGTAATTATCAAACTCACTCTGTAATTAAAATAAATAAACTACTCTTCAGTTTAAGTTTGTTTATTGCCTCATCTTTCATTCCCTCAATATTTCAACTGACTCAGTCTTTTGTCTCACAGTTGTAGCTGCACTTTCCCTAAGTTTTTCTTTAATTAATCTCCAAGATAGCAATGGATGCTATGAGTCCATCGATAACATCTGGAATGATTTAGCAACACAATTCTACCCATCTCTTGCATCCACGCTCTGTGTCAGCTTGATCCTGAAACTAAAATAGCCCAATAGTTCCCATGTCAGTTCAGTCTCAAATAACACCCATGTCTTATTCTTGATTTGATGTGATTTGATTTATTATTGTCACACGTACCTAGGTAGAGTGGAAAGTTTTGTTTTGCGGGAAGTACAGGTAGATCATATCATACAAAGTGCATTAGGGTAATAGAACAGAGCGAGGAATACAATGTTACAGATCCAGAGAAGGTGCATAAAGAGCGAGATCAACATTAAATTTAAAATTTGAGAGGTCTATTCAGAAATTTAATAACAGCAGGGAAGAAGCTGTTCTTGAAGCTGTTGGTACATGTATTTAAGTTTTTGTGTCTTCTACCTGACAGAAGAGGTTAGAAGAGATTATAATTCTGAGAGGGGTATTTGATTATGTCGGCTGCCTTCCTGAGGCAGGGAGAAATATAGATGGAGTCATTGGATGCGTGATTGTCTGGGCTGTGTTCACAACCCTCTGTAGTTTCTTAAAGCAGTTGCCATACTAAGCCGTGATGTATCTGGATAGAATGCTTTGCATGGTTCATCTATACAATTTGGTAAGAGTCTAATATTGGTAATATTGTAGGACGTTGAGCCTTCCACCATTTGCTGTTAAACCTTTGTCATTTTTAGTTCTCTACCAGAGAGCAGGTCTGACCCATGGCACCAAACTTCCACAATGAGTAGGGCAATGAGCCTGGTTCCCAATTCACATGAGATGGAATAGGGATTGGGCCTCATGCTGTTGAGACTAACTGAACATACAAAGAAGGAACAAGAGGAACGGGGTGTCTGGCTAGGGTCTGGGGGTAATAAGTGACCTAGGGAAGATATAGTTAGGCATAGAGGCTTTTTAATAGTTATTCAGGAGTTAGACTATGTACTTAATTATCTAAATTTTCAAACGATGAGAGTAGATGGACATGTGGAATTCATTTGGATCTGCCATGGACTTACGGAATGGCAGAACAGGCTTGAAGGGCTGAGTAGCCTACTAGTCCTAATTTGTATACTGTAGAGGCTGAGGAAAAGGAAAACCACATCATGGGTTAAAGAGGATGCCCCTCAATAGGTAGAAGGAACAGGCTTTCATTCAACACACAAACACCTGATAAGGGCTCAAATATTTGCTTCATGATAGCAAGATCTCAAATAGGAAACAAAACATTTCATTCCTTATACTTCCTCAGATATCAGTACTTCCATGTCAGATATTGCTGACTTCACTCAGCAGCTGTATTAGCATTAATAAGGTTAAGGCTGAGGAGGAAGAAGAACACCCAGCGTTAACTGAACCAGAAATATAAGGCTCAGGAGCTGCAGCAGTGTATGAACTCACAGCTCCTGAAGAAGGGAACCAGGGTCTACAGGTTACATTTTGCACAGCTCCCAGGTTCCTCGAA